TACAGATCGTTGGCAGCGTGGAATGTGCATTCAGCTCATAACAGCAGCACAGGAACTTTACTGGAGCAAAGAAAAGACTAAATGGAAAACTCTGCCTGTCTATGAGGATGCAGACCTAACTGAACCCAATGACCTCCATATGCCACTCAAGTATGATCCAAAAACTGCACCAAAAACGCTTGTTAGTTTTCTCACATCTTCCTTCACATTCCTTCAGCTGCAAGAACATCTCACTTTTCAAACCGCTGTACTTGTCCGGCATGAGGTCGCATAGAGCAGGTTATCTTGAACCTCTTCAAGAACCAGGACCTACTTTTAACCCAAACCTGCATTTTGGGGGACCCATTTCTTAATATTTTGCCACATTTTTGCATGGTGGTCATGCTCCTGTTGCAACCCAGCTTGTATCAGGCTGCAGGCCTGATACAACCCACCAGATGAAGACCAGTGACATACAGCCACCCAAGGGCCCCTCCAGATATCCTTTTTATTGTGCATTCATTGTGATCTGTGCTCATGATGGTATCAAGGCAGTTATACACAGTCCTGTTTTCAATATAGCTGGCAGCTACAGAAGTTTCGGGGCAGACATACTATTTTGTTTATAATCAGTGTCCACCAGTTACTTCCTGTTGAAATCTTGCTATTTTTCATGCCGCAAAAGTTCTACCTTTTTTTTTAACCGCTTTTGTTGCTTATAGAAACATAGAATTACAGAGTTGAAGAGGACCACGTTGGTCATCTCGTCCAACCCACTGCAATGCAGGAATCTTGCCCACAACCATATTATTATTATTATTATTATTATTATTATTATTATTATTATTATATTTGCCATATTTCAAACAGTGAAAATCCAGACAGAAAAGCTGTTGAGCTTTTCTTTTGGGGCCTTTTGATTTTTGGGGGCCAAATACTTTTTTTTAGTATTGCCCCCCCCCCAATGCTGTTTTCCAGCTATTTTTATGAGGAAATGGCACTGCAAATGAGAAATGCCACAGATATTAATTAAGAAGGCAAGGGATAAGGGGAAAAGAGAAATAGTTTTAAAACGCCACGATCCCTTCCTTACCCAGATTCCATTTTAGGGTTTATTCCTATCCCTACACACTTAGTAAGTTCCATTCAACTCAGTAGGATTTGCTTCTGAGCAGATATGCCTAGGATTGCATTGTAAATATCTGAATAATTCAGGGCTTATATTAAATGAAACAGTGGGAGAGTCAAGATAGGATCTCTTGGTTTGTTTAAATTTAAAAGCAGCCATTCTAGGAGTGTGGCCTGAGATTAGATCCGGGCCATGACACTAAATGGGGAGGCAGCTTTCCTTGTGCAGTTCCCCCAAATCTAACCTTCACACACACACCCTAAAAGCTTGCTATTTGTCCTACAGGACCAAAGCATGCAAGCACTCTGAATTAGCCCTAAAAAGGAAAGCTCTTTATTTAAAAACAAAAATTAAAAAAAGCAAATGAAATAGCAGAGGTGGAAATTAGGTGGTTCCCAAAAGGATTTCCCATGAAAGAAAAATCCAAATCTCCGCTCCCCCGCCGCATTCGACAATGTTTTTGTGTAGTTTTACTTTTAAGGGTATGTAGGATTTATTGGGACGCCAAAACCTGTTTCGATCTAGAACACCAGAAGATACTGGCATTAGCCAATATCTGTTTTATAACTGTTATAAAACCGTTCCCAGCCAACAACGTTACAAAACGAGTTGGCCAAGACTGAAGAGTCATTCTGGGCAGAATGTGGTATGATAGTTGATGAACAGCTATAAATAATGGCAAGCCATTAGTTATCAGTCCAACAGTGGCTTTCCACAATTAATTATGTCCGTCCTGCACCATTCACAGCACTGTTCTGCCCCCTAGTGGAGAACACTCCATGAGGCCGCATTCAAATTAAGCCATAAATTAACACAGGATGGATACACTTTTAGCTGAAGCCCTTTTAAAAGGTGGTTGCATATACAATGCATACCAGTTCCACTTTTGCCCTTAAAAAACAGGAGTTGCACCTTTTTCTTGTAGCGTTTCAAAAACCTGCAAAAGCTGTTTGACCAGAACCAACAGAGGGCATAAAGAATTTGAGCTGTCTCAAACCAAAACGAATTTCTAACTGCAAACCTGAGAAATTACATACTGGAATGCCGCTCTAGACCACATGTGCTGCCATGGCCCTGCAATTGATTACTCTTACAAGTGAGTCCCATAGAGTTCAACGTGACTTACTCTCTATTAAGCTTGTTCACAATTGCTTCATGTACAATTGCCACTGGTAGCTGTATTATGAGTTTTATTTAAGGCAGGGCTGGGCAGCCCCTCCAGATGTTGTTGGACTCCCAACTTCCCTCTGCTCCGGCCAGGTATGTCCAACAGTCAGGCACAATGGGAGCTGTAGCTTCCCCATCCCTGTACAGTGGTACCTCGAGTTAAGTACTTAATTCGTTCTGGAGGCCCGTTCTTAACCTGAAACTGTTCTGAACCTGAAGACCACTTTAGCTAATGGGGCCTCCTGCTGATGCCACGCCGCCGGAGCATGATTTCTGTTCTCATCCTGAAGCAAAGTTCTTAACCCAAGGTACTATTTCTGGGTTATTGGAGTCTGTAACCTGAAGCAGATGTAACCCAAGGTACCACTGTATTAAAGGTGTTGGAGCCTTGAAACCCTTTGCACCTAGTTGTTCAACTCCCAGAAACTGTGTGACTTTAAGAATTGATCTTGGCTCCAGTCTTTGCACCTGAATCCATTTGCAATGCAGAGGAGGAGAAAGGCCTGAGCTGATAGGACAGTGACTGTAGAAAAAGCCTGTACTAAGGCTGCTACTGAAATCCTGCTTTTTTCTGGAGTTCCAAAGAACTCTGCAAATTGGTTTGGTCTATTAGGTAATGAACTATGAGTTGCAGGGTGGGTGGGGATGCTATGCCAAGTAACCTAGCTCTGTAGATTTTAAGAGAACAAGTACTTTCTGAAGGACATTAATTTAAAGATAATTGAATGCTTTCTAAATGATGCATTTTGAAAAGTTTTTGGGGCTGATATTTTGGCATAATTGCTTGTTTTATGTGATGGGCTTTCAATTACCTGGGATTAGACATCATTGCTCTAGTTCATGGGTAGGTAAACTAAGGCCCGGGGGTCAGATGTGGCCCAATCGCCTACAAAATCTGGCCCACAGACAGTCCAGGAATCAGCGTGTTTTTACATAAGTAGAATGTGTCTTTTTATTTAAAATGCATCTCTAGGTTCTTTGTGGGGCCTGCATGGTGTTTTTACATGAGTAGAATATGGGCTTTTATTTAAAATGCATCTCTGGGTTATTTGTGGGGCATAGGAATTCGTTCATTTATTTTTTCAAAATATAGTCTGGTCCCCCACAAGGTCTAAGGGACAGTGGACTGCCCCCCCCCCCCCGCTGAAAAATTTGCTGACTCCTGCTCTAGTTGAACCAATTCCCGTTCAACAAAGAGGGTATATAAGCTGCTGGGGGTATTAACCAGATTCTCACTCCCCATCCTGCCTCAGCCAATTTAAATGAGAAGGTAAATCAATGGATTCCTGTTCCATACAACAATGCATTTCAACTCCATACAGGTACTCCTGGTGCTTTCCTTTGTTGCAATTCCCAGAGTGATAGCAGTGTTGATGTAATGCAGCAAAAAAATAAAAGTGTTATGGAGATTGGCTGTAGCTCAGTGTTAGAATAACTGCTTTGAATGTAAAAGGTCTGAGAGTCTCTCCTAGGCAGAGGTACCAGCTTCTCCAGAGGATTGAGAGGGCCCAATGCGATATTGTATAGAGGTAGGGGCAGAGCTGAACATCCTATGAAAACTGAGAGGGGCTGGCCCCCTCAAAAAATACTTGGGGGGGGGCAAAACTGCTTCAGTCCCTAGGAGTCATCAGCTTTTCTCCCAGGCATCTCCAAGATAGTACTGGGAAAGACTTCCACCTGAAACCATGCAGAGACACTGCTGGTCAATGTAGACTGGGTCTGGGCAATCTCAGGTATTTGTATGTATGGCCATCTTCTCCCCCCCCCCATCTGACGCATATCTCTGATCTCAGGTGTAGGACAGGTAAAGGTGTGGCTCAAATGAACAAGTGGCAGCCTTAGAGTGAACTTCTGATTGTGTCTCTGCAAGCAGGAATAGAAACTGGAATTGGCAGCATTTGCACTGAGCAGAACTAATCCCTGCCCAAAGTGGGGCTTCCATTTAGTAGGAATCGTGGTAGCGGGGCATAAAAACAAAGGAAGTTTATGGAATGTATTTAGAGGCTGCTCCCAGTTTTTCCTCTGAAGCTGAATCACGTAATGTTATGTGATATGACATCAGGAGATTCAAAAACAGTCCTCAAAAACGTGTGTGATAATAAATTAGCAAGGCTTTATTGTAAGATGCCACAAGACTTTTTTACTTTTTCCTTGTGTAGCTCCTTCTTCCTGCATTGGAAGCCCAGCATAGCCTGTTGTGAGAGTCAAAGCTCAGCTCAGGAAGAAATCGTAAGTTTTTGCTCTTTGTGTCTCAGGTTCTGGGGTGTATCGGGCATTGCCCAAGTACCAAACTTCCAACATATAGCAACCCAAATTCCAGACAAGTTGGTGCAGGGGCATCCCTACCGTTTGGCAAACTGAGACAGTGCCCCCCCCCAGTGGCAAATGCTGGGAGCAGGCAGAGGAAGCCCCCTGGGTATTCCTGTCTGGAGAACAGAGCTGTCTGTATGCTACACAGCCTGCCTAGCCACACCCAAACCATCCAGTTGCCTCAAGTGCAGTGGATTATACTATCCTGTAATTAGTGCTTAAGTAAGATTCAATTGCCCCTGGGGAAGGTATCTAAGAAGAGCCCTGCTGGATCAAGCCAAAGTCCTATCCAGTCCAGCATCCTGTTTTCATAGGCAGCCAGATAATCTCTTGGTTCATCCCTTTATGCTTTTATTCCTAAAACAAAGATGGCCAGATCAGCGGTACAGCAGACACCTGTAAGAAAACAACTCAACAATGACAAAGGAAGATTGGAGCCAAAAGGTACGTTGCTTGCCGTTTCATACTGTATGTTGTTCTGCATCCCATTCACTTTTGACACAGAGCCATACTCTGTATCCTGGTATCCTGGTATCCTGGTATACTCAGGTATCCTGGTAAGCTCTCTGGGCTGGCCTGAGATATTTTGCTGTCAGAAGTGGAATAACAAATGGAACCTTCCACCAATCAGTTGTACGCCAGAAGAGGGAGATGGCCTTATCGTGAGAGGCTTTCTGTTTTTTCCATCTTAGCAGAAGTTTATGCTTCTGTCTGAGGGAAACATATTCATTAATTAAGAGGGGTAAATTAGAGTTCCTATGTTTACTGTAAACTCTCTTCAGCTGGCTTTTAGCTTGCTTGCACTCTTTGTCGAACCACCTGGAAGATCCCACTGATCTTCTTGAGCCACTGTTCTTGATCTCAGTTCTCAAGAGGTCTTAAAACCTGTCATTCAAGATCTTAAATAAATCCATAGCCTCAGCAGCAGAGGTAGCTAAAATAGCGGTATGAATAGCCTTTAAGTCATCTGTATGAAGAAGGTGGGTCAGTGCTAGATTGAGTACTGGGGTCCACTTAATACTATTGCCTACAGTCACACCTAAGTTTGCATTACAGATTGAGTTTGGGGTGAAGAATGGTTAAATACTGGGCCAACTAGTACCATTGTTAGAGGTAAATGATCGCTTTCAATATTATGGCCCACCTCCAACTCCATGACAAACTAATATGCAAATTGTGAGGTCGCAATATAATCTATCACACTGCTTCCATGCTTTGTAAAGTCGGTATATTCCCTGGGCCAATCTCCCTCTATCATACCATTTAATATTAGCAAGTCCCTCTGCCTTACAACTTGGGCTAAACAAAGCCCATGATCTTTAGACAGAAGGGAGGTACCTCTGGCAAAGTAAATATCTGGTTCCAGAATCTGATTGTAATGGGTGTACAAATTTACATTGTTGACTCCCATGTGTGCATTAAAATACCCTGCAATGATAAACACTGCAGCAGGATATAGGGATTCGATGGATTCTATATAATTTTCTAGTTCTGTCCAGATAGTATTTATAGTTTTTTTGTTGTTGACAAGGTATGTAGATGTTAATAAGCATTAAACATACTTTCAGAACTATAACCAAGACAGCAGTTGCAAACGGGTTGCATGGAATCATGGCTGCTGTAGATGCATTCAACTTTGTGGAGGGAGTGGCTGTCAATGAGTGACATTTGTTTTTTTAAAAAAAATAATTTTTATTAACAGGCCAATCACATCACATTATCCAAATCACATGAGTTTCAAATTATACAGCCAAATTGTAAATTTTGTTGGGGGTACCCATACATCAAGCTCCACACGAGTCCAAAACTCCGAACGAGTTCAAACATCACTTATATTACTGCTTTAATTAGACAGTTCTATCCAGTTCAATCCAGATAGTCCTTTATTACTTTCTTTCTCTTCTTGTTGTTATCGTATATTCCTTTCTTTGCGATCTCTGATAATTTTCACAAGCAGATTGAAAACAGGCATCCATTGTGTGGGTTTTGTACTGTCCAAAGATCATATCACTCAGGGACAGCCTCTGTTCAGTGCTTCCATAAAAAAAAAAAATCTTCGGTCTGTCCTTACTTTTCTCAGGCTTGCCAAATAAATCAAATGAGTCAGGAGGCTCTGTCAGGTCAAGTTTGCGTTCCAACATTCCTTCTCTTTCGAATAATCCTGATTCTCCTCCCCCTGTCTTTCTTTCTCTGGCAAGCCTGTCTTGGCGAGACGCCATTTTTTAACTGCGTCATGAAAATTTTCCTCTTTCTCACCGTTCTTTTTTTTTTAATTTTTTTTATTCTTTTTATTAAGTTTCCTTTGTCATTACACCAACAAAAATAGGTAGAAAGAAAAGATTTACAAAAAAAAGAAAAAAAAGAAGATACAAAAAATACAGAAAAAAGAACATAAAAGGATAACGAAGACGAAGTGTTCAAAAAGGAACAAAAAAGCACAAGAAAATTTACATACAACACTTAACATTCAACATCTACTTCCTTCCCTACTGGTTTCGGGTTTTCATTTTTAAACATTTTATTTTGCAGCTGGTGTTAGTTTTTAGTTTACGCATCGAAAGTTTTATAGCAAACCTGCTATAGTTGGTAAGTTTCTAAAATTGCCTTCCAAATAAACTGAAAATTTAATCCATTCCTCATTTAACTTTGCATTTTTTTGATTTCTAATCCTTTGTGTCATCTTTGCCAATTCAATGAAGCCATATAATTTTGATTGCCAATCCTTTACTGTTGGTAAGTTTGTATTTTTCCAATTTTGGGCGATTAACATTCTGGCCGCTGCTGTTGAATATTGAAATAAGGTTTTATCTTTATCCCGTATTTCTTTTCCCACCATCCCCAACAGGAAGGCCTCAGGTTTTTTAGGGAATGTGTATCTGAGTATTTTTTTTAGTTCATCATATATCTGGTTCCAGAATTTTTTCGTTTCCTCACATGTCCACCACATGTGTATAAAGTTGCCTTCTTTTATTTTGCATCTCCAGCATTCCTTATTACCGGTCTTGTACATCCTGCTTAGTTTTTCCGGTGTTAAGTACCATCTGTATACCATTTTCTCTAGATTCTCTCTAATTGCAGCGCTTGCCGTGAATTTTATTCCCTCATTCCAAAGTTTTGACCATTTTTCGTATTCAATGTTATGCCCCAGGTCTATCGCCCATTTAACCATGACTTCTTTAATTTCTTCATCCTTTGTATCCCATTCTAATAATATGTTATACATTTTAGATAATAACTTGGATTTACTTTCAATTATTTCGATTTGAAATTTGGATTTTTTTTCATTCATTCCTAATTTTTTATCTTCCGTCCATAATGCATTAATCTGATGATATTGTAGCCAGCCCTTCAACTTCTCTTTCAACTCCTCATATGGTCTTAATTTCCAGCTGTCGTGAGATCTTATCAATAAATCTTCATATGTCAGTTTTTGTTCTTCCAGATTTGTCTTCTTAATTAGTAAGATATCTGTTGGGGACAGCCACCAAGGTGTTTTCCACTCTAGCAGTTTTTTGTTTTTTCCCCAAACTTCATATAGAGGGCCTCTGACGATGTGATTCGCGAATCCTTTGTGTACCTTCCCTTTGTTTGACCAGAGGTAGGCATGCCAGCCGTACCTATTATCTACTCCTTCAAGGTCCAATAGATCAGTATTCTCCAGGGTTATCCAATCTTTGACCCAACACAAACAAGCTGCTTCATAATAGAGTTTTAGGTTGGGAACTGCGAGTCCACCTCTCTCTTTTCTATCTGTAAGCAATTTAAATCTAATCCTAGGCCTTCTGCCCTGCCATATGAATCTCGAGAGAGTTTTTTGCCAATCTTTAAATATTTTGGGTCCTCTAATAACTGGAATGTTTTGAAATAAGAACAGCATTTTGGGTAGTATGTTCATTTTTATAGCTTCCATCCTGCCCAGCCATGAGAGTTTAACTCTGTTCCAGACGTCCAGGTCTTTTTTGACTTTATTCCATGTTGCCGAATAATTATCTTCAATTAGATTTATATTTTTCGACGTGAGCCAAATTCCTAGATGCCGCATTGTGAGTGTTGGAGAAGGCCTCTCCCTCCTCAGGCTAATTCCATCTGGCCTAGGGGGCGGGGCCCAGGCTCACCTTCGCCACAGCTTTAAAAGGCCTCATTGAGGACTGGGACATCACTGCTGCCGCATTGTGAGTGTTGGAGAAGGCCTCTCCCTCCTCAGGCTAATCCCATCTGGCCTAGGGGGCGGGGCCCAGGCTCACCTTCGCCACAGCTTTAAAAGGCCTCATTGAGGACTGGGACATCACTGCTGCCGCATTGTGAGTGTTGGAGAAGGCCTCTCCCTCCTCAGGCTAATTCCATCTGGCCTAGGGGGCGGGGCCCAGGCTCACCTTCGCCACAGCTTTAAAAGGCCTCATTGAGGACTGGGACATCACTGCTGCCGCATTGTGAGTGTTGGAGAAGGCCTCTCCCTCCTCAGGCTAATTCCATCTGGCCTAGGGGGCGGGGCCCAGGCCCACCTCTATGATTGCTTTAGGGACACTGGTGCGGCAGCAGCAAATGTTAAAATGCTTAGATGTATTTTGGGGTGTTTTAGAGGTGCTTTTATTGTTTGCTTTGTTGTGCCACCGTGAATGGTGGTTTTTATCTATGTATTTTTGTTTTGTTCCGTTTTGTTTTGTTTTGGGGTCGGACACTGAGTGGGGTGGGGATTGGTTTTGTTTGGGCGTAGTTGTTTTTGGTTGTTTTGTTTTGTTTTGTTTTCTACCTTGTAGATGGAGGTTAGTATGAGGCTTGGGATTGCGACCGTAGTGGGGCAAGGGAGGTATGGCGGTGGGGGCAGATGTTATAGGCGAAGGGGATCGAGATACGGATATGCTCGTACCCCTTCCAATCTGCGCCCCATCCCGAGAGACGAGGGTAGGGTGAGCAAGGATTACTCACCTCCTTCACTGGTGTTGTGCAATGCCAGGTCTATAGGCAACAAAACCGCCACCCTGCGAGATTTCTTTATCTCGCTGGGGGTCGACCTGGCTTGTGTGACGGAGACCTGGGTGCACGAAGGGGTAACTGTTACCTTATGAGAGATGGCGCCCCCGGGTTTCTCCGTCCTCCACCAGTCACGGACTGTGGGCCGGGGGGGAGGGGTGGCAGTATTAATCCGGGAAGATTGTCCTTTCAGGGCTCTACCATCGCCATCGATCCCCGGCATTGAATGTGTTGGCCTAGTGTGGGGCTCCGAGGAGAGCTTGGCTGTCTGGCTGGTGTACCAGCCACCTAGCGCACCAGCAGCCACCCTGTCAGGCCTGCTGGAGGCGGTGGCCGGCTGGGCCTTGGAGTTCCCTAACCTATTGGTATTGGGAGACTTCAACTTCCATGCTGATGCCACTCCCTCCTCACAGGCTCTGGACCTGGTGTCTTCCATGGCGACACTAGGGCTCTCCCAGTTTGTTTCGGGCCCC